TGGTTGCTCTGCTGGCGGGCCACAATAGCTGGCACGAGTTTGACAGCCCTGTGTTAGAGCTATCGTTGCAGGATGTAAGCTGTTCTAAGCAAAGCTGCCTTTCGCAATTGACTGATGGTGAATTCGTCATTATTATTGCATACATAATAATGTGACATCATAGCTGCCAGTTTATTAGTTGGTATTTCCCTTCATATGCATTAAGTTCTCCTCAGAATCTAGGATGTCATAATGTGTCAGGATAGTAGATCCAAGCAGTGTGGCCTTTTTAAACTGACATATGGAAATTATGTCAAAATACAGATTTGGCATCTAAGAGTTTTGGGTGTGATACCCAGTGTGCTGATAACCACTGGGACCACCATGTCCAGTTTATGTTATAATCTTTCAGCTTTAATTTTCAGATCTTGATGCTTTGTGATCTTCTCCAAGTCTTTGTTTTCTACCATCCCCCTAGTATTGCCTCAATAATTATCCACACTTTGTTTTATTCACCCACAGTTAAATCTGATGTATTATGTGCTAAATTTTATCAGTTTGTATCCCATAGTATTTTAGCCTGTTCATTTTTGATTACTTTTTCAAATCTATGTTCCCACCAATATTTCATTACTGGCACATGATAATTTTTACAGATGTTCCAGTGAATTATTTTGGCAACTGTGTAATGTCATTGTTTATCATCAGTTTGTGCGATCTTGTTACATGAGCTGAATGTATGAACTACTGTTTCTTCTGTTTCTTTCCACAATCTGCACTTTGGATCATTTGATGTTTTTCACTTCTAGCCTTATTACTATGGTTGATCACACAATCAGCGAGATGTTTATATTTGATTTGACATTTTCTTCCATGTATCAGTCTTTCCCAATAACCTCAGATAGGTAGATGTTTGATGTTGTTAAAAGTATCCTTGCAAGATGTAACCTGTTCCAAGTAAACCTGCCTTTTGCATTTGTCTGAAAATAATTTTATTAATGTTGATAGTGTTCAAGTGGTGCTCCAGATGGTTTTGGATCGCACCCAAGGTGCCTACAATAGTTGGTGATGCAGTGGTTAGAATGCAGTATTTCTGGCTACTTCTTCTAACTGTTGGCTGCCAGCAGTTGGAGTCTCACCAGCTCAGGGTTGACTCACCCTTCCATCCTTCCGAGGTCGGTAAAATGAGGACCCAGATTGCTGGGGGCAATATGCTGATTCTATAAACCACTTAGAGAGGGCTGTAAAGCACTGTGAAGTGGTACATAAGTCTTAAGTGCTGTTGCTATTGCTTTGCTTTTTTTTTTCACCATAATCATTTTACTTCTATTGTTAGGTCTTTGTATTTTTCTCTCTTTAGTTTTATCTCTTCTGTTCTGCTGTCTCCAAGTACTGCAACATCCACTATCCAGACTTTTGTTTTTCTTATCAAAAATTGTTCAGTCTGGGGTGTTATGTGGCAGATGCTTACCTGTTTGAATTCTAAAACCCCAGATCACTTTAGCTTCTTCATTTCTGTTACTTTGTCTATTTTGTGGTCCCACCAGTTCTTGCTTGCAGGCAAATGGTATTTCTTGCAGATATCCCAATACACCATTGTTGTTATTTTGTCATGGTGTTGCTTGTAATCAGCCTGTGTGATTTTGCAGCTGCTAACTATGTAATCCACTGTTTCTTTAGCTTCTTTGCAGAAGTAATATTGCTATCTGTTGCTGTCATCTCAATTCTGGCTTTGTATGTATTTGTTCTGAAGGTTTGGTCTTATGCAGCCAGAATTAGTTCCTCTGTTTCTTTCTTAATTTTCACTGCTCTTAGCCATGCTAGGTTTTGTGTGTTTGCTTGTGTGTTTTGTGTGTGTGTGTGTGCACTGGCCATGTAATATTCTGCCTTGCCATGTCTCTTTTCTATTCTTCTGGTTTTTCTTGTCGACCAGTTTAGTTTCTCCAGCATTCAGTAAGCCTTCATGGTGTACTAGCTTCAGTGCATCTTCTTCATTGTCCTTCCAATGCTTTCTTCTTCTTCAATGATATGGTGTTATTGCAACTTTCCATGCTCACCTGTGCTTCTCAGTAAGCAGAGTTTGTCAACATTGCTGTGTAGATAAAGTATATAATTCATTATCATTATTTTTCTATCCAGAGTTAGTCTTGGCTGCACTTGCTATTTCTACCTTTTGGATCATTGCTTTATAAAAAGTGTTACATATAAACTAATGTCTTAATATGTCCTAAACTTTCCTTTTCTCCTGGAAGCAATACGTTTTCTGACTACCTCCATATTCATTAAATAAATGTGTTATTTAACTGTAGGATTTTGCTGTCTCACCACCTTCCCTCCCTCTGATCTATATAGTTAAAAATATTGGGCAAAATTTCCCACACAAAAGTTTGCTCTAAAATTGAGCAAGGAGCATTTAGATTTTATGTTAAAGAATGAGTTTCAGCTAACAAAGGGATAAATTGACTAGATTCACCTTCAGTATAGAAAAATAGTGAGATGAAAACATCAAAAATAGCACTGGATATTCAAAAGTAGCTGACCAACTGTAAAATTTATTTAATTGGCAACAGAAAAAGAATAGGCAGGGAACACAATTCTTCAAGCAAGAAAACATGGAAAAATAATGGTCAATGTTGTATTAAAACTAGTTCATATGAGGTTGAGGTCTGAGCCTGTTTATCTCCTGTAACACCAAAATAATTTAAGCTAAGAACTTACTTGTTCTAAGTGCCACCAATTGCTCAGATATGTTTTCAAGCACACTACAACAAGCTAATTCCCAAGAGACATATGCTAGAATATTGTGACTTGTTACAAGGAGTAAACATCAGTGACCACATTGGATGAGGTTGTATAGGATAAATGCTCATTGAACTAAATTAAGTCAAAAAGGCTTGATTCATATGGGTTCTTTTCTGGCTTTTATTGAAATGCCAGTGAGATGTGCAACAAATGTACAAGTTTGAAACAATTCAAGTGTTATCACTGAAAAAAAAATCAAGAATTGAATACGACTAGTCAAATGCCCAGCATATGTTGTTTTCAATTTGTTTTATGGCAAATGGTTATTAAATCTACATTAATTACTTTAATGCTATCATTTTGTTATGGCATCATTTTGTATATGTTTAAGTTAAAAAAATTTCCCATTCTGAATACTGTACAAATGTGTACAAAGGACAGGGCATTTGTATACTTTTATCTCAATATACATATCATACATAGCATGAGAAAAACATTTGTAGTATTATTAGAATGGAATGAATGACAAAAATTGAGTCTGTGACTGTGTATAAAATCTGTTTAAAAAGGCACAGAAAATTCTGACATCTGTTGATCTGTTTATAGCTGTGGAAGGATTATTCATTTTAATTCTCGTTTAAAATGCCATATGAAGGAAAAGGCATTTGTGCAAACAAGAGTAATATTTGCATTGTAGATCATGTCTCTGCCATCTGTGAGAGCTGTTGCTGTTGCAGTATTAATGTGTTAATGAAATCATAATAATTTCTCTAAAGTAATGGATTCCGAAACCTAGAATGTCTATTTTTTGAACTTTGGTTTCTAGTGGTTTACAACTGGGAAAACCTTTCACAGCTTAATTAGTTCTGGAACCATATTTTTTTTTAATTGGCAGTATCTTTATCCCACCACATAGTAGGACAGAAAATAACTTATATTTGATACAGAAAGACTATCATCATAATAAGAGGTTTTGTCTTATTTTTTGAAAATTGGTTATATCAATTTTTGTCTGCCAAAAGTATATTAAAAATGACTAGTTTAAAAAGCATGGGCAAACAGCTTGGATAATCTTTCCAGCTTGTTAAAATATCACAGTTTCTGAATACTTGAAATTCACCCAGGTTTTATTAGTATTTTCTACTTCATAATTAGAACTCAAATGTGATGCTGTAGGATGGTTTTTCTTTTTGGATACAAGGTAATACCATCCCACCATTGCTATTAAAGGCATTTCAGTAATTTAGAATGTCAGGTCGCATTCTTGTACCATAGGTGAGTTGCTTTCAGTTTTCAAAAGTCATGGGGTCTTTTTCCAAGTGTTCCTTGATCTTATTTTTGTAACTAGAGTTCCATTTTTCAGTCAAAATCCACATGACCAATTCAACTGTGCTTTTGCATAAATACCATAAACTGAACCACGGCCTATTATAGTCCCTGATCTTAAGCTTCTTAATGTTATATTGGACTCTGATCATGCTTTATAATAAAATCTCCAACATTTATATGAAGTTTCAAAGTACAATTCTATACATGTTTACTCAAAAGTCTCAATATGCTCAATGAAATTTACTTCCAGCTCATTTTATTTAATACTTTTAATATTTTTGAAAAAAGAGGACAAGTCCAAACAAAAATCACATAGGGTATTACATCTATGTTGTAGGATGTGGGAAGAAACCCTGAACTTGCAATCCTGCTTGTAGTTAATAGGCAATAAATCCTCTTGAATGGAGTAGTTTCCTTTGTGTAAACTAATATGGGGTAGTTTTTAGTTCATGGCAGAGATAAGACCTGATGTGAGGATTTTCTGATTGATAGGACCATCACTTTATATTTATCAGTACTTCAATTTCACTAAATATATTACCTTATGTTTTAATTTAATAATTTAAAAAATATTTTTACAATCCTATTGTAAAACATTATTTAGATGTGAATGTAGACATAAACACACATACATGCATAATACTATTGTTTTCATTTGCTAAAGGTTCTCAGGGCTGTAGATGACAACTAGATTAAATATTATAAAAATAAGTTGCATGAAGGCATGTGTGTCTGTATATATCTATATTTTTACCTATATACATATATGTTAGATCAACTATATTTTGGGGTCATGGCATGCAAGTTTCATGAAATATATTTTTTTCTGGATAATTCAGATGTTTAAAAATCAGTTTTCAAAAGTAAAAACAATACTTTTATTGCAAATGACATTATAAAAAAGAAATCACTTTTTTCTTACCTGTTTTGATTTTGTTACTGTGTTGTAGGTGTGTGACTGGTGTAAGCACATAAGACACACAAAAGAGTATCTGGATTTTGGGGACGGGGAAAGAAGGCTTCAATTCTGCAGTGCAAAATGTCTCAATCAGTACAAAATGGACATTTTCTACAAAGAGACACAGGCCAATCTTCCAGCTGGACTCTGCAGCACATTACATCCTCCAGTAGAAAATAAAGCAGAAGGCACTGGGGTGCAGCTGCTGACTCCAGATTCTTGGAATATATCGCTAGCAGATGCTCGGAGAAAGGCCCCATCCCCTGTGTCTGCAGCTGGCCAAATTCAAGGTCCTGGACAATCCACGTCTACCACTGCCTCTCCGTCTGATACTGCCAACTGCTCTGTCACTAAAATCCCAACACCAGTTCCCAAACCTATTCCCATCAATGAGAATCCAAATATTCCACCGGTTTCTGTTCCACCACCTGCTAGTATTGTGCCTCCAATTGGTGTCCCACCTCGAAGTCCTCCCATGGTGATGACAAACCGTGGACCAGTTCCCTTGCCCATATTCATGGAGCAGCAAATTCTGCAGCAGATTCGTCCACCGTTTATTCGAGGGCCACCTCATCATGCGTCAAATCCAAATAGCCCTCTGTCCAATCCAATGATTCCTGGAATTGGCCCACCACCGGGTGGTCCTAGAAATATGGGACCCACTTCCAGTCCAATGCATAGGCCAATGCTTTCCCCTCATATCCATCCTCCAACGACTCCAACCATGCCTGGAAATCCTCCAGGCTTACTTCCCCCTCCACCGCCAGGAGTTCCTTTGCCCAGTCTGCCATTCCCTCATGTAAGCATGATGCCAAATGGTCCTATGCCCATGCCACAGATGATGAACTTTGGTTTGCCATCTCTTGCCCCATTAGTGCCACCACCAACCCTTTTAGTGCCATATCCTGTTATTGTTCCACTTCCTGTCCCAATACCAATTCCAATCCCCATTCCTCACATTAATGATTCCAAGCCCCCAAATGGCTTCTCAAGCAATGGGGAAAGCTTCATTCCAAATACACCCAATGACACAACAGGGGCTAAGCCAACAAGTAACTCTGTGTCCCCGAGGAATTCTAAACAAGGCCCTTCCAAACCTTCTGATTCATCACCAAGCTGCTCAGGCCAGTCCTTAAATCAAACCCAAGTGCATCAGCAGCACAGTAAAAATGAAGTTGTTGATTTGACTGTGAGATCGACTAGTCCTGTGAACAACAAGTTTGGTTTTCCTACAGTACTACAGGGACCACAGGATGGTGTGATAGACTTAACTGTAGGTCACAGGTCTAGACTACACAATGTTATCCACAGGGCTTTGTATGCTGAAGTCAAAGTTGAACATGAATCTAGCAGTGTTGTGAATCTGACTTTGGGGAGCTCAGAGAAAAGGAACTGCAGTGACTGCAGAAAAAATTGCAGCCCCACCGAAACAAAGACATTACCGGGTGGTGATCCACCTCACTGCGGCTCCCTCCCAGTTGCCTCTGGCACTCCAGAAAATGCTGCTGCTGCAGCCTGCAATGTCATTGTGAATGGCACAAAAGGCCCCGAGGTTTCTAAGAACTCAGAAACCCCCCAAGAGCAGAAAAAGACTCCACTTCAACCCTGTTTGCTGGAGGAGCTGCCAGTGAGTGAGCTGGAATCTGTTAAGGAGAATAACTGTACATCAAACTGTCGCCGAGAAGGAGAGTCTGGTAAGAAGACGGGGGAAGAGTCTTTGTTTGGGGGAGACAAACAAGATCCCAACCTTAACAATCCAGCCGATGAGGATCATGCGTATGCTTTGCGGATGCTACCCAAAGCAGGCTGCGTCATCCAGCCTGTACCCAGACCAGCGGACAAGACTGCTATTGGACCCTGCATTATTTCAACACCAATTCTCAGCACAGGGCCAGAAGATCTAGAGCCCCCACTGAAAAGGAGGTGTCTCCGAATTCGAAATCAGAATAAGTAAAGGTTCGTGTAATCCCTAAAGTCTTCTGTGTGAGTAGAATTGATACTGATATTTTCAGGTAGGATGACATAAGAAGGTTGCCGTTTGAGAAACAGGGGCAAAGGTTCGAGTTGTTCAGCTCATTCCCTTGAATTCATTACATATGTCTTGTGTTTTGTCATGCAACATTTTTGTACTTGTTTTACACACATCAGCAGTATCTTGTTTCTTTATCTCATGGAGTATTCCGTTAACAGCTTTGGCAAAGAAATGGTAGTGAGATATCTAGGCTAACTAAAAGCTCCTTTGCAATGTTAGTTTTTAAGACCAGGAAATCAGCCCCCAGTCTCCGGGGCTAAGTCATCTGTTAAAAAAAGGCAATTTGGGACTTGTGGGGTTTAATTATCACCATACATTTTAAGATGATTTTAGGAAGAGCAATTCTAAAACTTGGAATTACATGAATTGAAAAATCATGCTTTTCAACCTTTATCAAGTACTTTCTGAAACGTACAATTTTTAAAGTAGGATTTAAATAAGACTTTCATGACATTTCACAAGCTTTGTTTGAGTGGAGATAAAAGTGTAATTGCTGCTGACTAGTTTGATTCTTAACTATTGAATCACACTGCTATGGGTTCACTTCTCCATAACATTTTCTATTTTTTCTGCCTTTAAAAAGCATGTTTATGCTGATATAATATGCACTTTTAATGATCTTTGGCTAGGGCAATCTAACACACAAAAAATAACATTTTTTTAAAAGAACACAAAAGAGCCTTTTTAAACAATTTGACAATTTTTAAGAATTGTCAAATTCCCATTACATCTTTGTATCAAATATGTTAATAGTGTTTATCATCTTGCTTGGGGCTCATACAGCTAGTTAGAACCTTGAATACCCTTCTTTTAACTACTTTACTTTTTTGAATTTTAATCATCTTTGCCTATTTTAAATTTTATATACACTTTTATGTTTTAATATTTCATTTGCACACCACCCAGAGGCCTTCTGTGAGGAAGCTGGGCAGTTTATAAATCCAATAAGTAAAGAAATAAAACGAACAAACAAAAATTCTGAAGTACCTGATACCTAATAGGAGAGATAGACACTGAAGTCCTGCTTCCTGTCTATGCTTACAGAGCAGATACAGGCTTCTGAGATTTCATTGCACAGTAATGCTGTACTGAAAGCTTTCCCCATTAGCACCTAGCCATAGCATGACTGATCTCTAGGAGCATTCTTTTTCTCTTCATGACATTGCCTTAATCTCACTCCATGAGTTGTTCTTACTTGTTCTAGAGTTGAAATAGCGCTTCCTCTTCAAGCAAGCAATGTGTTGCAGCAGTTGAGCAACAATGGAGGAGTGGTGGTGAAGGGACGGCTGCTTAACAAAGCAGAATAATGATTTCTGGCTGTAGGTCTAGTGTTTCAGGTACAAAATACTTTTGAGTGTAAGTTTACCACTCTTCTAAACTAGCACCAGAATAATGCTATTCAAGAACAGGGCTTAAAACATTCGCTTTAAGGCAAGGGTTCCCAACCTGTTGGCCGTAGCCCACTAGTGAGCTGTGAGGAGATTGCAACTGGGCTATAGAAACAGCCAGCGAACGCATACGCATGCGCAGCCTCACTTGCACAAGTGGCAGGCGAATGCATCCGCATGCTCCATTTGTGTGAACAGCATGTGCGTGTGCATGCTGCTTGTGCAAATGGAGCTGTGCGTATGCTTGCCGGCCACTCACATGGGACCATCCCCCCTCCTCCCCACTCTGGCCAGTCCACAAAGCCAGAAACGTTGGGGAACTCTGCTTTAAGGTAACTCCACAAAACATTTTTGTGAGACAATGAGTTTTGACTAAGACAGACCAGAACTGAACTCATCTGTCTAGCCATCTCTCACCTTATCTGCCAGATCCAACCCATAGGAATATTTTGTCTGGTGACATTCAGTGCATGGGTGGAAAACAAAGCCAGGGGAATCTACCAGTCTCTATCCCAAGTGTACCTTGTCCTGTGGCCAGAAAGGGTTTTGTGGTGGTGGGGTGGGGTGAGAGAGCACAATTTTGACACTGGAACAGTTTTCCGCCAGCTCAATCAAGCATTGGTAACTAGCACTTTAAATCAGCTGTGAGGAAGAACCCTGAATTAACTTATGTTAATGTACTAGCCAGGTTGGAATACATATATTCCAACAGGCATTCCTATAAATATACTAAGGATCTTTCCATGTAATTGTTTTTATACAGTTAAGTATTTCTTGTCAACATTCTGCAAAGTATTCTGTTACCAATATTATAAAGTTTGCAGTACTTCAGAAGTAGAACATTTTGTATTTCAGGAAATGTTGTAGTTCCTATAGATTTGTGCATTTGTTTCTGTTGTGATTGTTGAATATCATGTAATTATTAAAATTCCGTGGATTATTCAAGGTTAACTTATGTAATAATGATGAATATTACTTAAGTGATATTTGCATCCTTGACAATTAAAAAAAGGAATTTAATTCAGTCACCTTTGAGAGAGAGGTGGGCAACTATATAATTTTGATAAATGAACAAAACAAATAACTCAGTCAATTTTTTAACTAACAGAATAGCGAGCTACTTTAAAGTAATTATTCCATTTTCTGCCTGGTTCTGCAGCAAAAACAAAAAAGTGGGTACCATTGTCAATCAAATGCCTCATCTTCTAACATAAATTATTACATCTATTGGCTGTTCATACTGAAGCTAAGTTGGAAGAGTGGGTTTACTATCTTTGATAAGATCATCTGTACTTTTCAAAGTATTCACCAGACAGGTGAGGTGGATAAATAATTAGACTGTTCCCATGTGCAAGTTGTCCTCACCTTACAACAGTTCATTTAGTGACCCTTTAAAGTTACAATGGTACTGAGAAAAATGAGTTATGACCCTTTTTCACACTCACAACCATTGCAGACAAGCAAAGTCAATGGGGAAGCCAGATTCACGGTGCCACTAACTGAACTACTGCAATGATTCCTTTAGCAACTATAGCAAGAAAGGTCATAAAGTAGGGCAAAATTTGCTTAACAGCTGTCACATTTAGCAATAGAAATTTTGGACTCAGTTGTGGTTATAAGTCAAGGACTAACTACACTAGTTTTCTAATCTATACTCCCTTCACACTTCATCATTTGAGCCCTATTTGCAGAAGAAATATATGTCGGATATATGAGACAACTTCTGAAGGGGATGATTATACTAAAATTAATAAATAGAATAAAATAATGACACAGATAAAAATTAAACCCCTCTCCCATCCAATCCCATTTTTAATTCTGCAACTATATTACAGGTCTCTCTCTATTAGTATGTAATTTACACTACATTTAATCAAAAGTAATACATATTAAGTATTAGGTTATTAATGCTAACATAATATTAAGTTATGCTTGTTCCTGGGTAAATGTGGATAGGATTAAGCATTTGCAGTATTTCTTCTAAAGTGGGTTTAATTCTTTACTATTCGTATAAGTACAATATGCCAGCATTCATTCATTCATTCATTCAGTTAATTAGAAGTAGACTTCTCAGGAAACAACATGTTTCAAGCATTATTAAATGATAATAATAAAACATAAGTTTTTATGTTGTGCTAATTTTCTAATTTTATCTAATACCTTTTATGTAGAGGGAGAAGGACAAACATTTTGCATAAATCTCCTGACATAAATGCTAAATTTTTAGAGGAATATTTTCAAACTAATCACCCTTGAAAGACCTACCCTCCATGATAAAAGTAAATTTAAGAATGGCCTTAAAGCCACCTAAATTAGCACTATGTCAGTGAATGAGGAAGATCTTCCAGATGAAGATATACCATGGATTTGTATAAGAGAAGTATTATAATATGGGCAATTTTCAGTCCCTTTCCAGTATGAATTCTAAAATTTAAATTTTTCACAGCTCTATACACTTTTTGACACCTTCATAAAGCTATTCGTTATGGCCTTAAATCTTGTTTCTGGTAAGTTATAGACAAAACAGATTTTATCACATTTTATGTGAAATCAGTGCTTCAGTGTTAATCATTCTACACTTTCTTAAATTGAACCTCGTTTGCCATTTCATTGATCACTCACTTTGTTCAAGGAGACCTTTCTGAATCTCTTCACAATCCCTTTTGGTTTTACACCAACTTGAATATTTTATTATCATCAGCAAAATGGGCAACTCACAAGTTACTCTTAAATCAATCACGGTTATAAATGAAAGCACAAGTTGTTTTGATTTCTTAAATCAAAGTAGAGTCTAGATATGCTACACAGAGAAGTAAAGTCTAGATGTGCTACATAAGAAAATTGATATAATTAAACAAATACAAAAATTGGCAGAAATGCATAACCTTAAAACCCACTCAAAGCTCTTTCAAAAATTGCTGATGAATTTTCCTTGGCATTTAACAGTTGCAAAATGGGAATAAGTGTGCAAATTGTATTTCATTTTAAACTTTGAGAAACCAAGTTTCGTTTTTAATTTAGCCTTGCCATTTTTTGGACTATGGCTTCTAGAAAGGCACTAGGATTCCAAGTGGGGTTTTTTTTTCCATAAAAAGGTTTCAAATCATGTACAAAATATCTCAGGAGTGGGTAGTTCTTTGGTTATCAGCACACCATTTCCAACTGTGAGATCCTTCAGAGGAAATTCTGTTTTGCCTGGTGGTGGAAGAGAAGACTTTCCCCCGATTGGATTTTCACATGGTAGTCATAGGGCCAGTTTTGCCCCTCAAAAATTCCCTCCAACTAAGGTAGGCCTGAAATTATTGGACTTGCCCAGTCAACTGGTGTGACACCCACAGGCCTCATATATAACTCCAGGATTTTCCTCCTGGCCGCCCTGAGGAAATCTCCCCAAAGTTCACTCCCATTTGCTTCTTATCCCTCACTATCTCCTTCCAATAGCTAAGGGTTCCCCAACCTGTGGGCCACAGTTGGCCATGAGGGGATTGCAACTGGACCACAGAAATGGCTGGTGAGCACATGCCCATGTATCCTCA